TGGAAAGGCAAGTTTGAATCACAAATCACTGGAACCCAAAGTTGCAACACCCTAGTAATATAGGAAATTAGAGAACAAGCAGAGCAAATCCACAAATGTCCTAATCAACTTCAACAAAACAGCAGAAAACAAGCAGGGAAATAGAGGTCCTCCAAAATCTTGTTAAGCCCGAATAGCAGGGTAACAAACATGATGAAAATGCTCCGATCCAAACTTCCCTAAAATGAAGATAATAGTTAAGCCATTACCAACGTGCGCCAGTGATTTTTAGGCAAAGAACACAAACAAAGAATTGATTGGCAGAAGAGAACTCCCAATTTATCACCTTCATCCATCCAAGAAGAGTTCTTTTTGCTTCTATCCATCCAGGAAGAGCTCTTTTCACTTTCATACACAGAACTCCATCATTCTAAGATCACATCAAAAGAACCAGAATTTAAAAGCTAAGAAATACTTGACAACATCAATATTACCATATTGATACGATCCTAAGCATCTGAGAACCATTCCCAAAGACAGAAGGCAGGGAACCAAAATAAATTCAAAAGCCTAAAGAGAACAAATGGGCAAAACGCAGCAGCAGGAGCAAACCAGGTGGAGGCAAAATTGAATGGAGAGGTTGGAAGCTATTTCAATGGTGTTTGTCCTGGGAAGAAAAGGTCTGCAGATATCAAAAGGTGACAAAAGCACAAGATTGTTTGGAAGAATATAACTCCCTCCAAAACAGTTTACCATCCGAGGAAGGAAGGCTCAGTTGTCACTACAACTCCGAATCACTGAAACCCTATATTGCACAACACAAATGCAGGAGATCAGAAAACGAACTCGCTGTCTCACAGAGCAAATCAGCATCAAACAGCTGAAAACAATCAAAGACAGAGAAAACTTCAGGAATCTTGCAAACCAGTATAGCAGCGTAAAAAACATGACCAGAGCCTCCTGCATCCAAGCTCCCCTAAATCAATACAACAGATAAGGCCAGTTGCTAATTGACTCCCCAGTTAATTTTTTCAGGAAATAAAAAAGGAAACCAAAAAAAAGGGACGAGGGAAAAACTCCCGGTGTCGTAGTATGATATTCGCATCCAGAAAGTCTTTTTTTAGCCCCACCGAAGACTAGGATTCTGCCACGCCACAACGAGAACATCAAAAGAACCAAGGAAAAAAAGACGAATCTTGATAACAAAGAACGATCGAGAAATTACTAATTAACAAACCCAATAATAGTAAAAACTCAATCTTCCTCATCAATCCTGGATAGACAACACGCCAAAACTACCGAAAGTCCAGAGCACCGCCTACAGCAATCACAACAACAATAACAGCCACAGATTAAATAAAAACTCCAGATTCAGATTACGCTCACATCCATCCAACAGAAAGTTGCTTCCTACTCCATCCGCCCGAAATCCATCATTCTACAAGAAGCACGGCAAGAAAACCAGAAAGAAGAACCAAAACGGGGCTATTTTTGAACCAAAACAGGGCTAATTTTGAAGGAAATTTGATGTCAAATTTGTCCGATAATTGGAATGATCCAGAAATTACCACGTAAACAAACCGAATCTAGTGCAAAAACTGGTATCCTTCCCGTTCAATCCTTCGAAATACCCGATCAACCGCCAAAAAAAAACCATGATTAAATCTCAAAAGTCGCTATAAAAAAAATTAGCGATAATAAGCTTCAAATTAATCAAATCATCACAACCATAGAAGCAACGATCGAACCTAGCGATAATCATCAACCGAAGATCGTAACCTTCAGCTGAGACAAAAAACCACAACAATTGAATCTCATTTAGCGAAAGCCTAACCGTAGAATCCCAAGAAAACCCACGATGAAGTTAAAAGCAGATGATTTCTTACCACACAACGAAACGGAAGCAAAAGGCCACTGGAAAGGAAAGCGGGGATTGGGGGTATTTATAGATGCTTGGGAAGAGAATGAACTGCTAGGATTAAGCGGTCTTACGTGATCTGGACGGTTAAAAAGAGCTCTTATCCTCGTTGGACTCGGGCTAAGATTCCCTTACGCGTATTGCCCCAAAGTCGGTTGTTTATTTGATTTAGGAAATGTGGTCGCCACCAGATTTATAGATTTTTTTTTTTTGGGTGCGATAGAAATCATTTTCTTTTACTGAAATTATTTTTTAAAAAAATCCTTGACAGCTGTGCATGGTCAAAGCCCGTAGGCTTAGGGAACTTTCTCAACACTTCCGGTTGAATACTTGCACTTCCGTCCGAATTATTTTTTTTTTTTTTTTTGTAGAAAAATGTACAATAATCATTTCATGTATATGAGATAAAAATATAATTAAGAAATAAATTTATAAAGAAGATAAAATTGTTTTAGAGAAAAATGACAAGATCTAATTTAGTATATAAAAAAAATCCTTGACAGCTGTGCATGGTCAAAGCCCGTAGGCTTAGGGAACTTTCTCAACACTTCCGGTTGAATACTTGCACCTCCGTACGAATTGTTTTTTTTTTTTTTTTGTAGAAAAATGTACAATAATCATTTCATGTATATGAGATAAAAATATAATTAAGAAATAAATTTATAAAGAAGATAAAATTGTTTTAGAGAAAAATGACAAGATCTAATTTAGTATATAAATTGATTTGTTTAAATAGATTATTTTTTAAAAAATTAATTACATCAAAAACACTCATGCTTTATGTCACAAATATGTTGTTGGTGTGCTATGTGTGTGGATTGAAGATTATTTCACTTTATTTACACCTTATTTACACATACTGATTTGATTGCATCATCAACACATTTTTCAATCACCTTTTTATCTCACATACATCATATCAGAAAAAGTGTCACAGTAAAAATATCTCAAATAATGTACAATCCAAACACACTTGCCTTAATATATGTTTATTAACGTAATCTCCTTATTTTGATTTTTTAGTTTCTTGAATAAATTAAAAACACTTAGACTTTTAATTTGGTTGCAATTTAATAATAAAATAGTGGTTGAAATGCAATAATGGATAGCAAGATCGAGTAGGGATATTGTTGTCTAATGGATGTCGTAGATAAGTATTTAGAAAACACATTGATAAATAACGATTAACAAAAAATAATTTTAATTAGATTATAATTATTCATACTTTACTTCATAACTCCTTGATTTTTTAATTTGTGTGAATAAAAAATACTTAAAATATTAATTTCAATTACAATTTCATAATGAAATAGTGATTGAAATGCAGTAATTGGTAGCAAGATTGAATGGTGATGTTATTACTAATTAACATGGTAGATAAGTACTAAGGGAACATTGATGAATAATTGAGTGCCAATAACAATTTTTCTAGCGGAAAAAAATGTGAATATAGATACTTTTATCTTTCTCTTTTTTTTATCCAATGAATATGGACCGAATGAAAATTCAAATGGCCAAAATGAAAACACCAGCAGATTAAAGGATTCCAGATTCCTCTGAAGGTGGATATCGGGTGGGATATTATTCAGTATTTCAAGAAGGTTCCACATTCCTCTCAAGTCTCATTTATGCCCATCTCCAATTTGAATTGCGTCATTCCATAGTTGGGCCTGGCAGTTCAAATTTCTAGGAGATTGGGTATCAAATAAACAAATTTGTTTGGATTGTGCTTTTCGCGGAAAAATTCTAACTTTTTTATAAATATATTTTTCAAATTATTTTTTTATTTCACATGTATCAAATCATTACAGTACATTGAATTGTAAGCACTTTGGCATGGCATTTGGAACTTTGACATAGAGCTCTCAATGAATTGAATTTTTCACGAAATGACATATCATATGGTAAACTTTGACATAGAGCTCTCAATGACATATCGTGTTCAACTTGTATATAATACTCTAATTGAGCTTGAGCTCCGTTCATATATCATATGAGCAAAATTTGAACACTAAATATTTAGTTTGATTCGACTCATTAAAAGCTCTTTTCATAAATTATATGAACAAAAATTTCAACATTAAGTATTTAGGTTGATTCAACTCATTCAAAACTCTATTTTGACATATTGAAGTTGTGTTGAACTCTCATGTGAACATTCAACTTGCCAATTATGCAGATGCTCATCATAAGTTTTCAACCTGTGTTAGAAAATTGGGAACTTATAAGTAGTGACTGGCAATGCAAGCAGTCTCAAATCCTACCAGAAAGGCAATTCCTGTGTTGATCTCCTAAAAAAGATGAGTTTGTCTCTATTATCAACAAATTTTATGAATGTTTCCTTGATGAGTTTGTCCAGCTTATAAACAGAGAAAGACTTTAGAAGCTTTGCACCGCACCACCACAGCCCCAAGAAATGATAGCTCATTAGAAAAATCTTTTTTTGTTTTGTGTTATATTGAGTAAAAAAAGTAAGTATTACGTATGTTAGTTTTGTATGTATCTTAAAAATGTAGATGTTATTTAATGAAACGGTAAAATAAAATTTTATAACATGACTAATGCATATTTGAACAAAAAAAAAAAAGAAATTAATGCATATAACATTAACAGAATTTTTCTAACAGATGCAACCGGTCAGTACACCTAGAATATATTTAAATTATACCTAATGTGTTAGGTGAATGCACATATTTATATTTATTGTATCCCTATAATTGACTATTATTTTCAAATTAACTTGCAAGAAATAAACACCACCTCTTTTATCGACTATTCACTCATTGACTAAACACATGTTAACGAGTTTAGTCGGATTTGAGTTCTAATATGATAAAAATAACAATATTCCTACTCGATCAATTATTTTTTTTGTAAGTATATTCGGTCAATTTTATTAGAATGTTTAAGCGGATAATTCAGGGCTGAATTTGGGTAATCAAAATTAAACATCTTCAAACCCAAGTCAAAACGGATCACATCCGGGTCAAGACTTGAGCCATGGTCACCTTACTTTTCAACACTCTCATAATTTCTAAGACAGTGCAAAAATAAAAATAATATGATAAAAGGAAGAGATCCTAAAATTGCTCAGCCATACCAATTAAGTTGGGACGTCGAAGTCAGTGACACACCAGGTCTCATAAGACAAGAGAAAAAGACATGGTAAAGAAAGAAGTTTATAGAACTTACTTTTGAATGGAAAAATCCCTCTCCTGATGAGCTCTCTGTAGTGCAAATATCCAATGAAAGAGCAAGCAGAAGCAGTCCAGAATTGAACTTCAGGGATGCCCAAATCTTCAGCAGCTTTGATAGCGAAGCTCATGACACCATCAGAAATGACGCAGCTAACAGGAGGCACTTCAGAAGACGAGTTCAGCTTAATCAACAGCTCCTTAAAAGGAACCAAACAATTTTTTCTGACAGAATCACAGAGCTGAGGCACCTCTTGAGTGGCATCTTTATCTGACGGTGGCATCCCATCAGGGATAGTCTCAAACCTGAAATCATCGAACCCTTTAACTGACTCTGGCCCTTTCGATCGGATCAAACGTTTGTGATTAAATTCAGTGTTGACCAAGGTTATATGGAACCCTTTTGCGTGCAAAAGCTTGGCAAGTCTCATTAATGGGGTAACATGGCCTTGAGCTGGAAATGGAACCAAGACTGCATGGGGTTTTTCTGTGGTTTCTACAGAATCCATTTCCTGCGCTGCGTAGATGAAAGTTAATAGACGGGAGCAGAATGTACTAGTCCCAAAATGATGGTGCCATTTATAGCAGCATAGGGGGCAGAAATTGATTTTTCTTTTTTTTTTTGAGGCACAAAGATATACAAAATCATATGTTGTATGTAATATGCACCATTTCTTTATCACAATGAACCAGATGCACAAAGCGACAAAATATAAATAGAAAACATCCTTTCATAGGTCCCATGCATCCCATTGAATCAAGTAATCATACATTTTTAAAAGGGTTAATTACCCCTTGAATGTAGGAATTATTTGTATGTTTTCCTTGAATAAAAAACGATAGGCACCACTTGTTACCTTTTGAAAAGGATTCCTTCAAATAATTCTTTTCAATGGAATAGCTGAAAGGACAAAATACCCCTTCATAATTTCATTTTGCACCCTTTAATTATACTTTATTTTTTACTTTGATCCATGAACTTTAGTTTGAAACACGTTGCTCTTAAATTCTTAATCTCATCTCATTTTAATCCAATAAACAATGGAACAGGCAAAAACTAATGGATCAGTTACTACTGTCAATTACCTTACGAATAAAATTAGAATATTTTGTTAATGAAGGGTGGCAACTATTTCGGCAGTTTTGTATATTTTGTTAACGATTGGACTAAATTAGGACAAGTTTAAAACTTTAGGGACCAAAATATACTAAACTTTAGTTCATGGATCAAAGTGAGAATTTTTGTATATTTCAAGGGAATAAAGATGCAATCAGCCTTAAGTTTTCCTAACTAATATACCACTTTGACAACAAAATCTATTTCATTGTTTCTGTTGGAACCCATGGTTAGACTGGAAATGCTGCATCTGCGCCTTGTGATTTTTGAAAAGAAAAATCATACAGAAATTTAAAGGTTATAGTGTACGAAAGTGAAAAAAAAATTAATCCTAAGCATATTTGTTTCATTTGAAATATAACTTGAATTTGCTTGTATATTTTAACCTATTACTAATTCCTTCAGTCCGTACTTGAAACTCAAACTTGAAGCTGATTCATTGCCATTTTTCTAGATGTCCATGTTGCAATTAATGCAACAAGGTTACATTAAATTAGTATGTGCAGTAAGATTCATTGCAGCTTTCCACAATTTAGTATCTTTTTTATTTTCCACTAGTATATGAACTTGTAGGACGTACCCTTAAATCAGATTGCCTCTTTGTTTAAAAAAAAAAAAAAAAGGAGAGAGAGAGATAAGAGATTGCCTCCGTCTCTGTGAAGTTGAAGACAAAGCCACAATCAGGGCTGTCAAAAATTTAATAACATGGCATATTCACATTGAAGATTTGCGGCTGAGGTGCCAAACTAAGCGTGGCATTTCACAAGGATTGTTGCCAGTTGAAATCATGACGTTAGTTCAAATCTTGACCTGTCAACTTTTTTACGTGTCTTCCTTTGCTAATAGAAAAAACTTAACAAGACGTAGATGAATTGAAATGAATTCTATGATAGAGATGGTTCCCAAGCAGACAAGTAATTGATAATTTACTTGACCTGTCAACTTTTTTACGTGTCTTCCTTTGCTAATAGAAAAAACTTAACAAGACGTAGATGAATTGAAATGAATTCTATGATAGAGATGGTTCCCAAACAGACAAGTAATTGATAATTTAAGCAATTACTATTCAGGTTCTTTTCATTGTTCCACTCACATTAATTCTCAAGATTCCACTCAATCAAATAGGCACATACTCGCAGGTTATCCTAATCATATTGATTAGGATTATACATTATGTCCTGTTATTAGTTGTGTCAAATTCGAGATAATAGATATTTTATCTAAGACAAAAAAAAAAAGAAGAAAGTGATGCTTTATGAACTTTCTAATTGCATTGTTCTTTTTATTCCAAGGCATGCAAGCAACTCCAACCATAGAGCTTAGATAATTCAAAACAAAAATGACTAATATAATCCATTTTTCTTTTAAGCCACAGGAGAAACATTTTGTGCGGCGCATCCGTTGTAATGAAGAGCCTCAATGATAAACTTGTCAAAGTTAATGTAAGATGACCCCCCAACTTCAGTAGCTTCCTCAGCTTTCTTCTTCCATTCTTTAGCCTTAAACCTCATTTCCCCCCCTTCCTCTCCTATAATCATTTTGCGTACAAGTTCTGCAACTTCGTTCCGCTTCACATCATGATTTATTTCCATCCCAATTCCCCATTTCTTGCAAGAGTAATGACAGTTAGTCTGCTGATCGGCGAAGAAAGGCCAGCAGATGAGAGGCACACCAGCAGAAATACTTTCTAATGTAGAATTCCATCCACAGTGAGTCAAAAATGCTCCAACACTTTGTCCTGTGCACACCAGCTCGTTAACAACCCTCTGTCCTGAATCTCTTCCAGGAAATCTTCAGGCAACATTGCTGATTCTCCTCCCTGAACGACATCAGGCCGAACAATCCACAAAAACTGTTGCTGGCTATTTGCAAGTCCCCAAGCAAATTCTTTGAAGTGATGGTCAGTCATGGTTGTTATACTTCCATAATTAACATAAAAAACTGAGTTTGGTGCTCTTTGATCTAGCCACTCGAAAACTTTCGAGTCAGGCTTCCATAAACTTGAATTCAGGGAATTGACTTGGCTTTCGGTAACAATGTGCCTGGCTAATATATGTAGAGGGCCTATTGTGTAAATATTTGGGAAATCAAACTTGGAAATGACTGCTTCTAAAGCTTCCCTTTCAAGTTCATCGAAGGTATTGAAGATTATCGCTGGAGCTTTTAGACAACTCTGTGCCGCCTCTCCAAGGAAATCAAACATAATATCGTTGGGATCAGTTGTTCTGAAAAAGCTTGGAAGGTCCCTGAATTTTATGTTGCTCATGCCACAAATCCAATCAACTGGCTTATCAAGAGTACCATCTGTGAGGTAATCGTCATCTGGACAAAGAGAAAAAAAGGGTCTTTCAAGTTCGATGAATAATTATATCAAGACTAACAAGGAAGGAACTTCATAATTTGGACATGTGAATCCAATTTTTAATTTTTTTTTAAGTTTCAATAACTACTAATAGAGTAATAACAGAAATAACAGTTATATCAGAAAAAAGATTGTAATCGTTTCTTACATATATACCTACATACATACATATACTACTCCATTAGTAGCCATTGGAACTGAAGAAAAAAATAGTGTTATATAACTTTATAAAGGATACATAGCTAGGAAGCCATTTAGAAGGTAAGACAGGAAGTGGAATAGAATATTCTCATTACATATTTGAAGCCAATAAATGGGTATAAAACCAATCGCTTCGGGGTGAACACTCGGTCTGGACGGCCAAAACGTCGGAAATGGTCCAGCAATAACGTGGGAAGTGGTCCAGATACATGTCGATTTCATATTTTAAGCAGGTATGCATGTTTCATCATTCTCATGATCAAGAAATTACAAGCTATAAACGAGATGATTAAAAAACAGGTTTAATCATACCAATTAAGTTGAGATTGAACGTTAAAGACAATAACAATACAGTCCAGAGACAACAGAACAAACAAAGAAGAAGTTTATAGTATGTACTTTTGAATGGAAAAATTCCTCTCCTGATAAGCTCTCTATAGTGCAAGTATCCAATGAAAGAACAAGCAGAAGCCGTCCAAAATTGAACTTCAGGGATGCCCAAATCTTCAGCAGCTTTGATAGCGAAGCTCATGATACCATCAGAAATGACGCAGCTAACAGGAGGCACTTCAGAAGACGAGTTCAGCTTAATCAACAGCTCCTTAAAAGGAACCAAACAATTTTTTCTGACAGAATCACAGAGCTGAGGCACCTCTTGAGTGGCATCTTTATCTGACGGTGGCATCCCATCAGGGATAGTCTCAAACCTGAAATCATCGAACCCTTTAACTGACTCTGGCCCTTTCGATCGGATCAAACGTTTGTGGTTAAATTCAGTGTTGAGCAAGGTTATATGGAACCCTTTTGCATGCAAAAGCTTAGCAAGTCTCATCAATGGGGTAACATGGCCTTGAGCTGGAAATGGAAGCAAGACCGCATGAGGTTTTTCTGTGGTTCTTGTGGTTTCCAGAGAAACCATTTTCTATGCAAACGAAAGTTGAAGGCGAAGTATTATGCATAAGTCCCTAATTGGTGGTGCCATTTATGGGATTTGGGGCAGAAATTGATTCGGACCATACACAAAGGTCTACACAAGTCATACACTATACTACAAAATATAGTACCAAACATATGTTTCATGGGTCACACACGTCCAATGCCAATCAAAGTGAAAATGTATAGGAATCTTTCATTTTGTAACTGCAAGCATTTTTTATATTATTTATTAATGATGAAATGCAATGCAATTTGTCCATTTATTAGAGAAGTGTAATTTTGGTATCAATAAGACTGAAAACAAGTCTCAACGAGTTGGATAGAGGTATGTTCAGGATTGATTTGAAAATTAAAAGGGATGTTTGAACTTAGTTTGTGTTTGATAATTTTTTGAAAGAAATTGATCGAGTTTGGTTTGAAAATTCAGACATATGTTCATGAAAAACTTGACTTGTCAAAATATCGAGTTCAATTACATACCATCAAAGTTTGCTTGACTTGAAATTTCATTTTGTATTATATGGAGATTTTCACCCGAATTTGTTGCCTTTTTTCCCGTTAAATTTTGCTCTATGATATTCAAGAAATCTATTACGATGAATTAGGGATGCAATTAAAGTCAATTATGCCTATCCAAGAAAACTATTACAATGAATTATGGATGTAATCAAAATCAATTATACCTATTCAAGAGACGAGCATTATATGCTTGCTATTTTATAAGATAAGCAATATACGAAAAGGAAAGAAGTGGAGTTAAGAAGGAAAACTTTAGATGTATATTTATGAAATTTACTTGCCTTATATATTTCTAAACATATCGAGCTAGACAACGTGAAAATCGTGATTGTTCATATTTTCGAGATTGAAATTATGTTCAAATTTGGATTAAA